CATAGTCTGTGACAAACGTAGATCCATGGTCTGTGACAAACGTAGTTCCATGGTCTGTGACAAATGTACATCTATGGTCTGTGACAAACGTAGATCCATAGGCACTGACAAACGTAGATCCATAGTCTGTGACAAACGTAGATCCATAGTCTGTGACAAACGTAGATCCATGGTCTGTGACAAACGTAGATCCATGGTCTGTGACAAACGTAGATCCATGGTCTGTGACAAACGTAGATCCATGGTCTGTGACAAACGTAGATCCATGGTCTGTGACAAACGTAGATCCATGGTCTGTGACAAACGTAGATCCATGGTCTGTGACAAACGTAGATCCATGGTCTGTGACAAACGTAGATCCATGGTCTGTGACAAACGTAGATCCATGGTCTGTGACAAACGTAGATCCATGGTCTGTGACAAACGTAGATCCATGGTCTGTGACAAACGTAGATCCATGGTCTGTGACAAACGTAGATCCATGGTCTGTGACAAACGTAGATCCATGGTCTGTGACAAACGTAGATCCATGGTCTGTGACAAACGTAGATCCATGGTCTGTGACAAACGTAGATCCATGGTCTGTGACAAACGTAGATCCATGGTCTGTGACAAACGTAGATCCATGGTCTGTGACAAACGTAGATCCATGGTCTGTGACAAACGTAGATCCATGGTCTGTGACAAACGTAGATCCATGGTCTGTGACAAACGTAGATCCATGGTCTGTGACAAACGTAGATCCATGGTCTGTGACAAACGTAGATCCATGGTCTGTGACAAACGTAGATCCATGGTCTGTGACAAACGTAGATCCATGGTCTGTGACAAACGTAGATCCATGGTCTGTGACAAACGTAGATCCATGGTCTGTGACAAACGTAGATCCATGGTCTGTGACAAACGTAGATCCATGGTCTGTGACAAACGTAGATCCATGGTCTGTGACAAACGTAGATCCATGGTCTGTGACAAACGTAGATCCATGGTCTGTGACAAACGTAGATCCATGGTCTGTGACAAACGTAGATCCATACTCTGTGCCAAACGCAGATCCATGGTCTGTGACAAACGTAGATCCATAGTCTGTGACAAACGTAGATCCATGGTCTTTGACAAACGTAGATCCATGGTCTGTGACAAACGCAGATCCATAGGCTGTGACAAAGGTAGATCTATGGTCTTTGACAAACATAGATTCAGAGTCTGTGGCAAATGTTAACAAATGGAAGATTTGCATGAAGGAATAACAGGAACCTTAAAACAATGTAGAACAATATTTTTAACACAAGTTTATCATCATTGGCTTCTCTATACGCACATTTACGCTAAAAACAGTGGGGTATTTTCTTATGTGGATCACTATCGTGTGGATACCATTTTCAGTTCAGGACGCCGCCTGCCGCCAGCAGACATTCTTTTTTGAGAAATAACTTCCCAAATGGGAAAATCCATTCTCAACTTCTTTTCTAGTTGTTCTCAGGTATTTCTGAACTTCTTCTTGGGTATTATCATACTGAATTTATTATGCTACTGGTAGGTGGTATAACATAGTATAAAGATGATAGTATATATTATTATAATTTTAAAAATAATCTTTATTTATTTTCTATAAAGATTCCAAAATCTGAAGACATCAACTTGCAGAATCCAACAGATATGTCCTATGTTTTCAGTGGGGCCTACACACCTATTTCATGTAAACTTGTAGAGCAGGTGAGTGGCCATAGTTATATAGCTATACATCTGTAGGGCCTACACACCTATTTCGTGTAAACTTATAGATCAGGTGAGTGGGCATAGTTATATTGCTATACATATGTAGGGCCTACACACCTATTTCATGTAAACTTGTAGATCAGGTGAGTGGGAATAGTTATATTGCTATACATCTGTAGGGCCTACATACCTATTTCATGTAAACTTGTAGATCAGGTGAGTACTAGTGGCTATAGTTATATTGCTATACATATGCAGGGCCTACACACCTATTTCATGTAAACTTGTAGAGCAGGTGAGTGGCCATAGTTATATAGCTATACATCTGTAGGGCCTACACACCTATTTCGTGTAAACTTGTAGATCAGGTGAGTGGCCATAGCTATATTGCTATACATCTGTAGGGCCTACACACCTATTTCGTGTAAACTTGTAGATCAGGTGAGTGGGCATAGTTATATTGCTATACATATGTAGGGCCTACACACCTATTTCATGTAAACTTGTAGAGCAGGTGAGTGGCCATAGTTATATAGCTATACATCTGTAGGGCCTACACACCTATTTCGTGTAAACTTATAGATCAGGTGAGTGGGCATAGTTATATTGCTATACATATGTAGGGCCTACACACCTATTTCATGTAAACTTGTAGATCAGGTGAGTACTAGTGGCTATAGTTATATTGCTATACATATGTAGGGCCTACACACCTATTTCATGTAAACTTGTAAATCAGGTGAGTGGGCATAGTTATATTGCTTACATCTGTAGGGCCTACACACCTATTTCATGTAAACTTGTAAATCAGGTGAGTGGGCATAGTTATATTGATATACATTTGTAGGGCCTTTACACCTATTTCATGTAAACTTGTAAATCAGGTGAGTGGACATAGTAATTTTGTAATTATAAGTTTCTATAATTTTATAATTATAAGTTTCTATAATTTTATTATTATAAATTTCTGCAATTTCATAATTATAAGTTTCTATAATTTTATTATTTCAGGTTTTGACTAAGGAAGGTTTTACAGGTATGGAGGAGATCCTGAAACATTTACCTGGAGGCACCTTCGCTGATGTCAAAGTCAAACAGACCAAAGGTAAACAAGCAACTAATTGATAATTAAAAAGTTTAAAGAGGAAGTACAAGTTGATGTTAGGCAACAAAAGAATGAACATGCAATTTCAGCAAAAATCGTTTTTACAAAGAGGATTATGCTAACCGGAAGATTGTTTTAATTAAGTGGAAAAAATTGGATAAGATATAAACAGATTCCATTTACATAGAAAGGTATGGAGTGGTTTAGAGGTCCCACAACATAAGTAATATCATTGAACTGGAATACACCAAGCTCTTCTTACCGATAATGGGTGAAATCAAAATCTGCAGGCTACATTTTATACCCATTTAACCTGTGGTTTGTTTGTAGGTAAAGGAGGTACCACTAGTGCTACATTTTATACCCATTTTACCTGTGGTTTGTTTGTAGGTAAAGGAGGTACCACTAGTGCTACTTCTCCATCACAACGCGTTGTCCTCGTCTACTTCCTCGGAGGATGTACCTACTCCGAGATCACTGCTCTCCGCTTCCTGGGGCGACTTAAAGGTCAGACGATGAGTTCACATTACATTTTTACTGGGTGGGGAATATGTCTGACTGTTGAGGCAGCGGTTGTTTTTACATTGTACAATGTATCTCTGGTACAGTACTCATTTTTTCCTTGCCTGCAATGTTTGTCGCAATGGCAGGAGAGAGGCATCACTTTTCCAGCAGTGGCAACAGAATCAAAGTTAAATTTTTACATGTACTTGTTTATCTTTAAAATTATCAGATCTAGACCAAAATTGCACCATAGTTGCATTTTAGCTTCCTCATTGCAACTCATGCATCAGATACAGAATGTGGCCTAAAAATGTAACTACATTTCCTGATCCAGTAACTGTTAAAACATCTAGCTTTGTATTATGTGTTGTATCTCAAAAGTTTAACGTCAAGGCCTGGTAAACACACACCATAGACACGTCCTGGGCTGTATACATAGTACTATAAACATGAGCTGCTGAGTAGGGCCTAGTTGCTTTGATTCCATGGACCAGTTTTCTGACACACTCATCTGTATAGTGTTTATTATTTCTAATTTAAGTGCTATTGAACTAGATTTTGATTAAACATGCTTCATTTTAAATACACTCCTAATTTGAATGCTGGATATAGTCTAGATGTTTATGTCTTATCATTATGTCATTATTTTAAATCTTAGTTTGATATTTTGAAAATGTTTGACAATTAAGAACACATTTTCTTAATTCAAAATTCCAATTCGAATTTAATTTGAATTTGAAACTTTTGAAAGTTGAAAGTAAGTTAACATGTTTCAAATCAAAACTTTGTTTTTTAGCTCACCTTGGTCCTATGCCATACCGTTGCGTCTGTTGTCCGTCCATTGTCCTTCCGTCCGTCCGTCCGTCAACAATTTCTTTTAAACGACTTCTTCTTCTTAACCACTGATTGGAATTCAACTGAATTTGACTGGAAGCATCCCTAGGTTGTGGGGATTCAAAATTGTACAAATGATGGGGCTGACCTCCCAGGGGGCTGAGGGCGGGGCCAAAAGGGGTTAATTTGGCTATATTGCTTTAAGCGACTTCTCCTCTAGAACTAAAGTGGATATCAACCATATTTGACTGGAGCATCCCTAGGTGGTGGGGATTCAAAATTTTACAAATGATAGAGCTGACCCCCCAGGGGGCTGAGGGGCGGGGCAAAAAAGGGGTAATTTGGCTATACTGCTTTAAGCGACTTCTTCTCTGGAACTAAGAGATGGATATCAACCATATTTGACTGGAAGCATCCCTAGGTGGTGGGGATTCAAAATCGTACAAATGATGGGGCTGACCCCCCAGGGGGCTGAGGGGTGGGGTCAAAAGGGGCAATTTGGCTATATTGGTTTAAGCGACTTCTTCTCTGGAACTAAGAGATGGATATCAACCATATTTGACTGGAAGCATCTCTAGGTGATGGGGATTCAAAATTGTACAAATGGTGGGGCTGACTCCCAGGGGGCTGAGGGCGGGGCCAAAAGGGTTTAATTTGGCTATATTGCTATAAACGACTTCTTCTGTAGAACTATGCCATGGATACTGATCATATTTAGTCGGAAGCATTCATGGAAGGCAGGGATTCAAAATTGTACAAATGGTGGGGCTGACCCCCGAGGCTAAGGGGTGGGGCCAAAAAAATGTGTATTACTTGGAAATAGTTGAGATCCCCACCTTATAACCATGGTATACAATTGCTGAGTATAAAGAGAAGAATGCACATTTGCTTCCAGGATGGCCCTAGGGTCTGGCCCCACCCTTGGAGACATAGTCCCTGGGCCATAACTTTAAAACTGTTGAGATCCCCACCCCAAAACTATATATACAAATGCTGGGCATAAAGAGACGAATGCAGTCATTATATCAGAATATACCCTGGGGTCTGAGCGAACACCTAGGGACCTAGTTTCTTAGTCCCACCCTGGAAACAGTGCAGAGCCCCACCCTATAACCGTTTATATACAATTGCTGAGTATATAAAGATGATTGCACATATGCTTCCAGGATGGCCTTGGGGACTGCCCCACCCTTGGAGACTTAACCCCTGTGTCATAACTTCGAAATGGTTAAGATCCCCACCCCAAAACTATATATACAATTAATGTTGGGCATAAAGAGGCGAATGCAGTCATGATATTAGAATTGATCCTTGGGTCTGGCCACAACCCTAGGGACCTAGTTTCTGAGTCAAAGCTTGGAAACAGTTGAGATCCCCACCCCATAACCATACATAAAATTGCTGGGCATGGAAAATCTAATACAGATATGCTACAAAGATTGGCCTTGGGGTCATGATTGCTCAGGTATCCAGGTGAGCAATACAGGCCCTCTGGGCCTCTTGTTTAATTAGGATTAAATTTTTGCATTTAGCTCAGTTATTTGAAAACTATAAGTTTTCCAACTTAACTTTTATCATAGATGCATACATGTTGGACACGAAAACCTAATTATAGCATCATATTCTGTGTGGGTCTTCATACGTATAGCTCAGCAATATTGTCAGTTAACACATCATTTACCGGGTATGTTAAGTTACTGTGTTGCGTTATAATGATTCTCATATGTATTGTTGTTGATGGTCAAAACGGCGACAGGAGAGACATATGAGTATACTATTTCATGGACGGGAGAGACATACGAGTATACTATTTCATGGACGGGAGAGACATACGAGTATACTATTTCATGGACAGGAGAGACATACGAGTATACTATTTCATGGACGGGAGAGACATACAAGTATGCTATTTCATGGACGGGAGAGACATACGAGTATGCTATTTCATGGGCGGGAGAGACATACGAGTAAACTATTTCATGGGCGGGAGAGACATACGAGTATACTATTTCATGGGCGGGAGAGACATACGAGTATACTATTTCATGGATGGGAGAGACATACGAGTATACTATTTCATGGACGGGAGAGACATACGAGTATACTATTTCATGGACGGGAGAGACATACGAGTATACTATTTCATGGACGGGAGAGACATACGAGTATACTATTTCATGGACGGGAGAGACATACGAGTATACTATTTCATGGACGGGAGAGACATACGAGTATACTATTTCATGGACGGGAGAGACATACGAGTATACTATTTCATGGACGGGAGAGACATACGAGTATACTATTTCATGGACGGGAGAGACATACGAGTATACTATTTCATGGACGGGAGAGACATACGAGTATACTATTTCATGGACGGGAGAGACATACGAGTATACTATTTCATGGACGGGAGAGACATACGAGTATACTATTTCATGGGCGGGAGAGACATACGAGTATACTATTTCATGGACGGGAGAGACATACGAGTATACTATTTCATGGACGGGAGAGACATACGAGTATACCATTTCATGGGCGGGAGAGACATATGAGTATACTATTTCATGGACGGGAGAGACATACGAGTATACTATTTCATGGGCGGGAGAGACATACGAGTATACTATTTCATGGACGGGAGAGACATACGAGTATACTATTTCATGGGTGGGAGAGACATACCAGTATACTGTTTCATGGAATTCTTTTTGAGAAAGCAAGAAACTAATCCCTTCAAAATAAGACACAATGAAAATATGCTTATTTCTGATACATTTTATAACAAGGAATAGTTTCATAAACATCAAAACTTCAAGAGGATGTATGCATAAGGCACAACATATTCTTATTCTGTGGTGTTTGTTTTAGATATTTTTAGTGTAGATTTACTTCTGCTGGAGTTTGTTGTAGATGTTTTTAAGCGCCTGCTGTATATAATGCGGGCATTTATCATTCTGGTCTTGGAGTCTGGTGGTGACAGAAATGGAGGTTGTAGATAGAAGATTACTCTTGGCATGTTTGTAATGTTTGCACTATTTAGCTGACTTTACCCAAAAGGCCAAGTAACCTTATTCCGTAGTGTTGTGTTTGTTGTAGCGCTATGTCTCATATATTGCCGCAGACTTTGTTTTTTTAAATTTCAATTTGATAAATGACCTCTGCGAGCTATATATATTGACGGAGGCAATAAGACAAAAAAAATCCAGAAAGCCATAAAAAGTGTAGGACCTTTTATGAACATGATTAATACCAAGTGAACCTTTCATAAACCTTACATGTCAAATGAACTGTTTGCAAAATTCATATGTCCAATGAACTTTTTGCAAAGCTTTTTTTTGTACAAATTTGAAAGCTATGGAAATATGAATAATAGTGTTGTCAACTGTGTATTTCTAAATTTACTCGTATTGATATAGAATTGCTGGAACAATCTTATCCTAGCAAGTACCGCTATAGTAGTTTCTTTCATAGCAGCCCTGCTTCAATTTGTTTCTTCGTATTAGCTTGTCCTGCAAGTAGGGCATAAGAATTGTACTTGCTGCCCCTATTGCATGATCGATACGTAAGAGGCGAATACATTTGGGATCTTATCTTTTCTCTTCTTTCTAAACAACTTTCTTCTTCCTAATGTCTCCCTTGACAATGCCTCACTTTTGGCCTTTAGTTGAGCTTTCCCCCTGTGAGGAAGGCTTTGGGTTCTGTCCCCTGGCCGAGACATACCAGTGAACCATTTATAAACCGTGCATGTTCAGTGAACCATTTATAAACCATACATGTCCAGTGAACCTTTTATAAACCGTACATGTCCAGTGAACCTTTTATGAACCGTACATGTCCAGTGAACCATTTATAAACAGTACATGTCCAGTGAACCTTTTATAAACCATGCATGTCCAGTGAACCTTTTATAAACCATACATGTCCAGTGAACCTTTTATAAACTGTACATGTCCAGTGAACCTTTTATAAACCGTACATGTCCAGTGAACCATTTATAAACCGTACATGTCCAGTGAACCTTTTATAAACCGTACATGTCCAGTGAACCTTTTATAAACCGTACATGTCCAGTGAACCTTTTATAAACTGTACATGTCCAGTGAACCTTTTATAAACCGTACATGTCCAGTGAATCTTTTATAAACCGTACATGTCCAGTG